CGAGATGTCTGGTTCCCCATCTAGCTGGAGCAAAGGCTTATCTCCTGCATCGCCCTTTTCTGCATCTGGGAATCGAACAAGGGAATTGAATTCCATCGGAGCAGTTCCCCAACAGCTTCATCCATGATGCCAACAAATGGTGATGAGCCTGACGTATCACGGGTTCAATCTCTTGTCAAGGATGGACCTCAAGCCTCGCAACAACGCGGGCAATTTGGGTTCGAGTACCACAAAGTGCAGAAGCAACAAGAAACAAACAAGAAAGGTCCAAGCTTTTTCTTCGGAACGTCCAGGCCCACTCCCTCTCCATTCTGGAGACCTCGTTTCCGCCCTCCGTCGGCGCTTTCTGCCGAGATCGGACTAGCTGCATCACTCCGATCTTCAATTTCCACGCCAAAACCGGATCGCCATTTCCCGCTGCGGGATGGAATCTAAACGGCGTTTGTGCAGTACTGTTGTGATTATTCGTTCCCAGCTGTGATGTTCTGCCCGTACCTCACTGTGAACCCCGCCACCAGGCTCGGATCAATCTCCGTCTTGATCCTCACATTCGCCACGTCAGCTAGCGCGGAGGTGTAGCTGTCAACGGCAGAGGCGTTCATGCGGGAGACTGATATTGATCAGGATGCATGCAAGCACATGTGAGTTGGCGACCTTCATCATTGGATGGGCGAGACTTACCTACACGGATGCTTTGCGCACACTGGACAGGTTTCCTCAATTAAGGTAATACGCAATAAGCAAAATTGGTCAGTCAGAAGGATATGGCAGTAAAGGTAGTGGTGGAGCCTCTTCCTCTGCACCTCCGCCATGGTTGCCGCCTTTGAATGAGATTGACAAAAACAAAGTTTGTCAACACACACCCAAAGGCCTCCTCCGTCTCTTGCCTCGCAGCTGCCAAACAACTTCAAAGACCGCTGTCAAACGACTAGCCGGCCGAGAAGCGCTTCCTCAAACTTCAACTCTCCGTCCGTCTTCGTCCGCTCCCTGCAAATTCCTCTGCCCACCACCCAAATTTATACAAAAAGAAATACAATTTAATAAAAAAAAAAAAAAAAAAAAAAAAAGGGATGGTGGTGCATCTGGCACCACGTGAAAAAGAGGAATGGTAGATCAAAGATGGGGTACAGCCCATGGCAGATCAAAAGTTTCTGGTGGTGCATGGGCACCATGTGCAGAAAGAAAAAAAAAATTGTTGTAAAAAATAATCAAATAATAAAATAATAAATAAAATAAAAAATGCATAGAGAGAAATAGAAGGTCCATTTTATTTATTTTTCTGGGAATTTTACATAAATTTGCATTATACATAAATAAAAAATAAAAAAAATAAAATAAAATAAAATAAAAAAAAAAAATCATCAAATCAAATCAAATTTACAAGAGGGGATATTCAAAGACGATCAGGTGCCGCCTCACAACTCGGTGGAGCTCCAGGAAGAGAAGGCGTCGAAGGTTGGCCGTTTGAAGCCTCAGCAGTCGGTACAGCCCCAGAAGACGAAGGTAAATGCTGCTGGAACAAACCCACAAACCTCCGATGATCAAGTAAAATCTGACCATCAGATTCCTGCATCTGGTCAATTTTCCGCTTCATGTTTGTGGCATAGTTATGTGCAAGCTTGTGCAACTGTTTATTCTCATGCTTGAGCCCTCTAACCTCCTGTTTGAGACTCATCACTTCCGCCGCCAATGATTCAACTTGACGGGTTCGAGCAAATAGGCGTTGGGCCATATTAGACACAGAACCTGCACACTGCACACTGAGAGCCAAAGAATCCTTAACAGCCAACTCATCAGACCGTTTGGAAAGTAGTCTGTTATCTCTGGGAGTGACAAGGTTTCGGGCCACCACCGCAGCGGTCATATCATTCTTCACCACCGAATCCCCAACGGTAAGAGGACCAGTAGGGGATATGAAGGATGGGCGCCATATGTTGTCTGGAGAAGGCGGGACTGCCTCTTCACCAAGATTCAAGTCAAAACGACGATCGGAGGGTCCTGACATTTTCAAAGTGTTGAAGAAAGAAGAGGTCGGACGAATCAAGATCTTAGAAGTGCAAGAATGGAGTTTTCACAAGTAAAATTCAAGTGTGCTTTGAAACGAACAGCGTGCCTCTATAAAAAAATCAGCACTCGACGGGATTTCAGAGATCGAAGAGGCGAGCTCAGAATTCGAAGAGGCCATTCAAAAATCGAAGAGGCAAGCTCAGAAATCGGAGAAGCATCTTGCTTTTCCAGACGCGTCAACACCCGTCACACGCAAACTCAGCTTTGCGGAAATCACGGGTAATTTGTCGAAGCGCCGATCCCAGTTATCGAAGAGGCGCCAGTCTTTTTCAGCCGCGTCAACACCTGTCACATGCACACTCAGCTTGGCGAAAATCACGGGCAATTTGTCGAAGATTTTCGGTGAAGGAGAAAGCACGTGAAGTATACTGTTCAATCATCCAACGGTTGCCGACACGAGTGAAAGAATAGTACATCTACAGGTGTTAAAGAACTCCCTATAACTGTCCACCTTCACCCTCCATAGCAAGGCAGACATACAGAGTCAATCTTCATCTCCAAATATGCTTTCTCAACGAAGGCTCTCGAGTCATTCAGTGTTCCTTATTCCTTGGGGTACCTCAGCAAACAAATGACACCAAAGCAAAAGTATCTCATATCACCAGGGTAGAAAGCAAAAGTATCTCATATCATGCGTCTTCCCTGTCCTTTCCTTTGTCCTTGTTCTTACCTACAAAGACAAGGATAAAGAAAACAATATGTCGGAACCTCCACTCAAACTCAGGTAAGGAACCGACTGCTTGGAACCCTTCCCTGATTGCCTACCTGGCACTGCTCTCGAGTACTCGCCCCCCACTGCTGCTGTACTTTCAAAGAAGCTGCCACATCTGCCCGGAGAACAGATAAGGCAAGTGAAAATGATACCTTGCAGCATGTGGAGACAAGGTGCAGAAGGAACAAGCAGAGAAGAATGCGGTCTGCACGATCAACTCAGCAGAAGGAGTCCGAACTGAGGAACTCGAGAAGCTGCCACATCTGCCTAAAGAAACAAGCAGAGAAGAATGCAGCATGCACAGTCAACTCAGCAGAAAGAGTCTGAGATGAAGAACTCGAGAAGATGCCGCATCTGCCCGAGGACGGTGAACTCGTTTTGACCCTCAAATTCTTGGGTCGACTTACTAGGTGTTGTGGGCTGCACGTGCCGATTCACCACCCTTGAATCAAATCCTTAAAGACCAAGTCACCAATTGGAAGAGGAGCCCATCAATCTCGAAGATCATACCGTTGATCAAACTACTCAGGTGTGAATTAGAAAGATTGAACAAAGCAACAAGTCATCACCTTCACCTCGTGCCTGCTTGCCGTGTGTTCGAGTCAGCCTTCAAGAATCAAGCCTCAACGGCCCTTGAAGAAGCTTCTAGCCAAATTCAAAATCAAGCATCGACGGCCCTGGAAGAAATCACAAGTCCGATTCAAGATTAAGTGTCTACCACCCTTGAATCAAAACCTAGTTCAAGAATAAGCTGTGGAAAATCAACAATTGGAGGAATCCAGAAAATCCTTCAACCCAGTTCAAGATCAAAGCTGTGGAAAGTCAACAAGCGCAACAAATATGTGCCGATTCACCCACTACCAAAGCCAAAGATCATCTACCACATGAAGCTCCTTGTGGTCCAATTTCAACCTTCAAGATCAAGCCTCGACGGCCCTTGAAGAAATTTCAAACGAAAGTTCAAGAACAAGCCTCAATGGCCCTTGAAGAAATCTCCAGCCCAATTCAAGATCAAGCCTCGACAGCCCTTGGATCGACATCTACAGTAAGGGACTTCAAAACGCATCTCCTACACGTGACAAGCACATGTATACGACGTGCCTTGAAGTGGGGGCATTTGTAGACATCGAAATTTTGTAAATAAATATTGACCGGTAAATCAAAGTGTCAACGCTCATGTATTACATAAGTTTTACACGTAGCGTGTGACTCAACGAAAATTGAAATGAGTTGGAAAAGTCATCAAATAGGACACGTGTCAACACCTGGCAGAAACGACTTATTTCATCTGGAATATTATATTCAAAATTAGGCCTTGGAAATTTCTATAAATACAAGCCTATTTCATTCATTTAAGGGAGCAATTCATATTACACCTTGAAGCTCTAAAGCTCTGAAACTCCGAAGCTCTCAAGCATCCAGGTTCCCGAAGAATCAAGAAAGCCTTTTTTCGTTCTTCGTTCATCGTTCATCCTAAGATCAAGCCCCAACGGCCCTTCGGATCAACAATCATCCACCAATTCAAGATCAAGCCCCGACGGCCCTTGAAGAAAGCACCATCGTTCATCATCCGTTCATCCAAGATCAAGCCCCGACGGCCCTTGGATCAACAAACATCAACAAATCCACACATCCAACCGTTCTTCAAGGTCAAGCCCAAAAGCCATTGAAGATCCGTTCATCACTGTTCTTCAAGATCAAGCCCAAAAGCCCTTGGAGATCCGTTCATCACTGTTCTTCAAAGATCAAGCCCAAAAGCCCATTTGAAGATCCGCTCAAATCCACCTTCAAGATCAAGTCCACGGCTCTTGAAGAACGTTCATCCTTAGATCAAGCCCAACGGCCCTTTGGATCAATTGCACATCCACAAATCAACACCTTACGGAGATCGAATCAGAGGATCAAATTAGAGAGAGATTGTAACCCAAAATCATCAAATACAAATATTTGTTTGTGCACGTCGTTCTTGTCTCTTTCGTTTCAGGAAATTTCCGTGTTCACAGATATACAGCACACTGGAATGACCACGACAAAGCGCAGGAAAACTCATGCGGCGCCGCAGCCGTATAGATATTTATACACACCTCTATATTTTTGTACTATATATACACACACCTTATATATATATATTTGGGCATATGAAGCACTGAAGAGTACCTTGTGCAACTTTATTTACCAAGCTACCACCTTTTATCTCCACACCTTCAATTTTGATTTTGCATCATGCACCATTGAGACGAATGTGATGTTTCCCGGCAATTCCCATCCATGAACCGCCGCCGAAAATGCCTTGATCAGCCACCACTGGAAGATCAAGCGACATGGCTGCCTCCGTCCACATCGAATCATCAAACACCGGGAAGCTCTCGCTCATGTTCCCCCAGAATATCCCATCCATTCCTTCATTGTTCACACCACTACTCATATTCTTTTCCACTTTCATGCCGTCCTGCTCCGGCAGGGTCTCAGCGCCGCCAGAATTATAATTTCCGTGGGGCTGATCGACTTTCACATTCGGAAAATTATTGTGAATAACAGGTACTGCAATATCTTTCACAGGAGCAGCATATATAACATGCAGGATTAGTCCCAGTACCTGATGGATTGTTCAGCACAAGGGTTTGGTTCGGAATTTGAGGTGGCACGCCGGCATTGGCCGACGAGGGAAATACTTGATGCTGCAGGTGCTGATTCAGTTGATGATGGTGATAGTTAGGGGCTTGCTGATCTGGCAAATTGAGCTTCGCCTTGGAACCGTAGAGCTTCCTGGCGGCGGCATCATAAGCCAGAGCGGCCTCAAAGGAGGTGGCGAAAGTCCCGAGCCAGAGCCGGGCACCGCGGTTGGGCTCGCGGATTTCAGCCACCCATTTCCCCCACGTCCTTTGCCTGACGCCCTTGTAGGTGCACATAGCGTTCTCCGGCCCTCCTTTCCCCTTCATGCAACCCTTCCTTGAGCTTCCCTGCGCTGGCCGCTTCGCTGGCTTCTTCTCCGCGACCCCAACACTCATCTCCGACGTCGACATTGTGAGAATTTTTTTAGAACAATTGACGACTTTTTTTGTGATTATTATTATTATTATTATTTTATTTTATTTTAATTCGGGTGGTGAGTTTGAGAAACCATAACCCGTAACGTTGGCGATCCTTATATGAGGAAGGCAGACGTGACCTGAAACGTGGCTTGTGGAGGATTAGGGCTTGAATACTTGGCATGGTGAACTGGAGATATCGTGTCCATGGCTAGCCTCACTGTTTAAATCTCTAATACACACTTGGCTTACACCCTTGCTTGCTTTTTTGCTCAGGTGGCAATCGGAGAGGAGCAGAATTCCAGTTTTGCTTTCTCATTTTTCATTTTTTTCTTTTATTAAATCCGAAATACAATTATATAGAAGAGTCACATTGGATCTTTAACTCAGAGATGAATCGTAATGAATGAATAACAATAGAAGAGAAAATTTTTAAACTAAATAGAAACTTGACTGAATAGACTTTCTGAAGTTGACTGAAAATTCATATGAGAGAAAAGTGGATGAATAACAATAGAAGAGAAAATTTTTAAACTAAATAGAAAATTGACTAAGTATGACTTTCTGAAGTTGACCGAAAATTCATATGAGAGAAAAGTGGATGAATAACACTAGAAGAGAAAAATTTTAAACTGTACATAAAACTAACTGTCTTTCTGAAGCTGAATGAAAGTTAAGACAAGTTAGAAATGGATGAATAACAGTAGGAGAGAACACTTTTAAACTGTACAGAAAACTGACTGAGTATGTATTTCTGAAGAAGAACTAAAAGTTGAGATAAGTGAGACTTATGTACTTTTGAGTAAGAACTAAAATTAAGTTGAGATAAGTGAGAGATTTGTTGACAGTGGAAACAGATGTTTGTTCTAATTTTTTTTTTCACATTTTATTTAAATTAGAGGATAAACACGTTTACTTTATCATTTTTTTCAATTTTTTTTAAAATAGAGTGTTTGGGGTTTATGAAAGTATTTTCAAACTTTCTCTATGGAGATATTTGGATAATGGTATCCGTCTTTTCAAGGGTTAAATTTATATTAACATTACAATGCGATCCACATCAGATATTAAGTTATAAAATTAATTATTTCGGATATTGAAGTTAACATCAAAACCATATGTATCATGACAGAACAATATTATGGATATCATTGTCGCTGATAGCCTGTCAATCAAACACCAAAGTAAAATCTCCATAAAAAAATCAAATAAATAATAAAATATATATAATTCGAGTCCAACAAAAAGTAAAATCCCCAATTGGGCAAATGTAGCAAGCCCTAATTACAAAGAAGAATTCACGTCGAATCTTTAAGTTAGAGACGAATCGTAATGGATGAATAACAGAAGGGAAAATTTTTAAATTATACAGAAAAACTTATTAAGGATGTCAAGTAGAGTTGACTGACAGTTGAGATAAGAAATTTATCTCGGCCAAACCCACGATTCAAATGATACACTTACACATTACGAATTAAACCCTGCGAAGGGACAGACAGTATTGTTTGTTGGGGACATCTCTTACGCAGATGGTTATCCGTTTCATTACAATAACCGCAGGGATACGTGGGGAGGTTCGTAGAGAGAAATGTTGCTTACAAACCGTGGATTTGGAATGCAGGAAATCACGAAATCGATTTTGTTCCTGAGCTTGTATGCATTTTTTTTGCATTGTTTGTTGGTAACCTCTCTTGATGTAATATACGATACAAGTAATTACAATGTTGTTGCAGGGTGAAAATAAACCCTTCAAACCGTACACACAACGGTATTTTGGTCCCTACGAAGCTTCGGGTATTACGTCTCCTCTTTCGTACTGCATCAAGAAAGCTTCAGCCTATATCATAGTCTTGTCCTCTTAATCAGCATATGGTAAGAATGCTCAGTTCTCCACATTCATCTTGCGCAAGCAATTTCACAGAACTGTGTCTTTCGTGGTTACTTATGCATTGCAGGGAAATATACTCCTCATACAAGTGGCTCGAGGAGGAGCTGCCGAAAGTGAACAGGACAATGACGCCATGGCTTATTGTTCTTATGCATTCTCCACTGTATAGCAATTATGTACATCACTATATGGAAGGAGAATCCTTCAGAGTTATGTATGAGGAATGGTTCGTGGACTATAAAGTAGACATTGTCCTCGCCGGTCATGTTCATGCCTACGAACGATCTGCAAGCGTTACATGCCTGCGAACAACCTATTAAAACTATGGCGGTTTCAGATATGAATGTTTGCATCAGAACGGATATAAAAATCTTGCTTACAACATTTCAAATGGACTATGCACTCTGGTAAGCGACCAGTCAGCCCCGGTTTACATAACCATCAGAGATGGAGGAAACCGAGGATTGGTTACCGAGTACGATGTTAATTCCCATTCTTATTATCTGTGAGCAGTCTTTCCTGTTGATCAAATGTTTTGAAATTGCTGTGGTATTTTGTGTTTTTCTGCAGAATGACAGAACCACAACCAAGTTACTCAGCTTTCCAGGAAGCTAGCTCTGGTCATGGGATTTTCGATATAAAGAACAGAAGTCATGCATTTTTCAGTTGGCATCGGAATCAAGACGGGTATATGCAGTTGAAGCTGACTCTTTGTGGTGAAGAACAGATATTGAATTCAATGAGTTCTGAGTTAGACAAAACACGACGGTTTGATTATTTCGTCTTTCTATATTAACCAGGCGAGCCTTTATTTCGTCTATATCTTATTTCTATATTAATTGGGCGAACCTTTTGAGTTTTGAACTAGACTAGGCGCGATGGTTAAATTATTTTATCTATTTCATCTTTCTATATTTTGTGATCGAGTTTCATTCTGAATCTTGTAAGTTATCCAATTCAATCTAACACATCAGAACTCGTTCATCGAACTACTAGCATAGATAATGAAATTATGACTCCAAGTCCAATTGCAATAAGTGCACTTGCAGAATTGGCTCTAAATCCCAGCATTGATAAATATACAAGATGCTTGTGGAATAAAAGGGACAGATATGGCTTGCAACAAAGATAGAAATGAATTAAGCTCAAATGTTAGACTTCCCCAAGAGGCAGGAAGAGGGATCCTCCATATCCTAATAACGAGACTATAAAACTTCCCACCAAAAGGAGGAATCAAACCAGGAAAGGAAATAGATTAAATCCTATAATAAGATGAAATAGATGAAATAATCAAATTGTTGTGCCAAAGCTAATTTAGAGGACTCATATGGTTCTCCAGATTAGATTGAAGTGAATAACTCATAAGATTCAAAATGGAATAAAAAGATAATAGACAAAATAATCCAACCGTCATGCATAGTCTAACTCAGAACTTAGAGGGCTCGCCTTGTTGATAAAAAGGACGAAATAATTTATCCCTCATGCCTAGTCTAACTCAAAATTCAGAAAGTTTGTTTGGTGCCTCATATTAAACCAAGTTAGACAACTCACAAGATTCTAAAAGAAAATCATTCACATAATATAGAAGAGATAGAGTAGAGCCCCAGATATATTTATACTTGTATATATGTATTTCGTTCATATCATAAATGCATACACAGGGAGCACTTGCAACAAACCCCTGCAAGCTGCGACTCATTTACAAACCCTGCACATAACTTTTTTTTTTTTTTGTTTCTTAGTACACAACTAAAAATTTTGCCCAAAAAATCTACAGATTAAACGAATTAAAAAAAAATGTGTCTATATCATTTCTTACGAAGTAAATACTAGTACATGCTTAAGACAAGAAGAGAAATAAAGTTTCTTTAGCACAAGAATGTACATCAAGGCTTAGTATGACATAATGAATGAAAGATAGATGAACAAAACTATACATTAGAGCCCAGTCGTCGAACTATTATCATAGCCTACCCTTATACACACTTTCTAATACTGTAAATAATAAAATTATGACTCATCAACTCCAGTTGCAATAAGTGCACTTGCAGAATTGGCAATAGATCCCAGCATTAACAAAAATACATGATGCTTGTTGAATGAAGGGACAAATATGGCTTGGAAACAGAGAGAGAGAGAGAGATGAAGTAATGCCTCAACTGTTGTACGGATAAGCTCAAACCTTAAACTCCCCCAAGAGGTAGGAAGAGGAATCGTCCAAATCCTGATGATGATCCTAGAAAACTTCCCATCAAAATTTGGAATCAAATCAGGAACGAAATAATTGGAATTAAATTCCATAATGAGACGAAATAGGCGAAGTGCAATAGTAAATTAAGAGGATTTATATGGTGCTTCAGATTAGATTGAATTAGATAACTCACAAAAATTATAATGGAAATAATTCACATAATTAACTATTGTGCCTAGGCTAACTCGAGACTCAAAAAACTCGTCTAGTTATCAGATTTCAAAAGGCTTACCTGGTTAATATGATAGGTGAAAAAGATGCATCTGATCTAACTCAGAAGGCTCGTCTAGTGCCTCAAATTAAATTAAATTGAATACACATCACATAACATCTGCGTACTTGGATATTGTATTTTATTCATATCATACATACACAAGGACAATAGAACTTGCAAGAAACCTTGCAAGCTGCGACTCTTTTACATTACCCTGCACATTACATTCTTTTGAGTACACTCCCAAAAAATCTAAAAAGATTAAAAGAAGAAAACCTTAATGGTCTTATTGAAATGACCACGACAAGGCGCAGAAAAACTCATGCGACGCCGCAGCCCTTTAGATATTTATACACACCCTACTATACATAATGTGGGCGTATGAAGCACTGAAGAGTACCTTGTGCAACTTTATTTACCAAGCCACCACCTTTGATCTCTGTCCCTTCAATTTTGATTTTGCATCATGCACCATTGGGACGATGCAATGTTTCCCAGCAATTTCCATCCACAAAACCGTGGTCGAAAATCCCTTGATAAGCCACCACTGGAAGATCAAGCGATATGGCTTCCTCCGTCCATATCCAGTCATCAAATACCGGAAAGTTGTCGCTCATGTTCCCCCAGAATATCCCATCCATTCCTTCATTGTTCACACCACTGCTCATATTCTTTTCCACTTTCCTGCCACCCTGCTCCGGCAGAGTCTCAGCCCCGCCAGAATTATAATTTCCGTGGGGCTGATCCACTTTCGCATTCGGAAAATTATTGTGAATAACAGGTACTGCAATATCTTTCACAGGAGGAGCATAACATGCAGGATTAGTCCCAGTACCTGATGGATTGTTCTGCACAAGGGTTTGGTTCGGGATTTGAGGTGGCACGCGGGGATTGGCCGACGAGGGAAATACTTGATGCTGCGGGTGCTGATTCAGTTGATGAGGGTGATATTTAGGGGCTTGCTGATCTGGCAAATTGAGCTGCGCCTCCGAACCGTAGAGCTTCCGAGCAGCCGCATCATAAGCCAGAGCAGCCTCATAGGAGGTGTCGTAAGTCCCGAGCCAGAGCCGGGGGCCGCGGTTGGGCTCGCGGATTTCCGCCACCCATTTCCCCCACATTCTTTGCCTGACGCCCTTGTAAGTGCACATAGCGTTCTCCGGCCCTCCTTTCCCCCTCATGCAACCCTTCCTCGAGCTTCCCTGTGCTGGCAGCTTCGCCGGCTTCTTCTCCGGAACCCCAACACTGCTACTACCATCACTCATCTCCCACTTGGACATTGTGAGAATTTTTTTAGAAGAGTTGAGGATTTTTTTTTTTTTTTTTTTTTTAATTCGGGTGGTGAGTTTGAGAAACCATAACCCACAAGGGTGCAGGTACTTATATGAGGAGGAAGGCAGACATGACCTGAAACGTGGCTTGTGGAGGAGTAGGGCTTGAATACTTGGCATGGTGAACTGGAAATATCGTGTCTATGCTAGCCTCACTGTTTAAATCTCTTATACACACTTGGTTTACACCTTTGTTTGCTTTCTTGCTCATGTGGCAATCGGAGAGGAGCAGAATTCCAGTTTTGCTTTCTCATTTTTCTTTTTTTTTTCTTTTATTAAATCCGAAATACAATTACATAGAAGTTGGATCATTCCAATTAACTCAGTTTTCTTTTCACCTTTTTAATTTAAATAACAGGTAAGATAAACATGCTAACTTCATGTTTTTTTTTTTTCAAAATATTTGGAAAAGAAAGTGCTTGGGGTTTATGGACGCTTTCTTCTTTTCTTTCTGGAGGTATTTCGATGATGGTAGTTTTTTTAAAGGGTGAAATTTATAATAACCTTTGAAACCACGGCGGATATTCAGTAATAATATTATTTGGATATTAAAGTTATAAAATTATAACCTAAGAATAATAGAAAGGAACAAATGGTGTAGTTACAAGAAGATTTTGATTAATAAGTTTTAGAACATAAAAATCGCCTGCCATAACCTAAGAATAATATAAAGGAACAAAAGTTGTTCAAAAGTTTTGAAATTGCGGTGGTATTTTGTGTTTTTCTGCAGAATGACAGAACCACAGCCAAGTTCCAGGAAGCTAGCTTCGGTCATGGGATTTTCGATACAAAGAACGGAACTCATGCATTTTTCAGTTGGCATCAGAATCAAGACGGGTATGCCGTTGAAGCTGATTCTCTGTGGTTGAAGAACAGATATTGGAACAGTTTTGAAAAGTCATCATCCTTAGATGCATTCTAGATCAAGTTTTCAATGCCCTCCAACCATGTAGACTTGCTGCACAAGTTTTCACTCACCTGCCATAACTAATGGTTGCAGAAGTTGTTTATATATGTGTAAATTTAAAAGTAAGGAGATTGGAACAGTGAGAAGGGTTTCATGTAATCTATATAGAATACCACTCTAATCATCATCCTGAATAAAACAGTCTGTTTTCCATCCAAAGATAAAACAATTTTGGCTGCTGTTTTTGTGTTGTCAGTCACCACTTTCTTTTTATCCTTTTTTGAAGAGAAAGGGTTTCATCACAGATGAAGTACGGAAGTGAATTCAAAACAATTTTTCTTTATGTCCGTCCTTTTATATTAACATGACGAGTCTTATGAATTCTGAGTTAGATCACACGAGCAGGCTCTATGAGTTTTGACTATAAAATTTCCAATCAAAAGTTGGAATCAAACCAGGAATGGAGATAATTGAAATTGTGTCATAACAAGACGAACAGACGAAATAATCCAACTGTCATGCTAGGCTAACTTATACGACTCATATAATGCCTAAATTTAGATTGAATTGAATAACTCACATTTAGAATGGAATAGAAAGACAAAATAGACAAAATAATCAATCTGTATTTAACTCAAAACTCAGAAGACTCGCATGATTGATATAGGACGAAATAATTTAATCGTCATGTCTAGTCTAACTCATAACTTATAAAGCTCATTCAAGCCTGATGAGATTAGACTAAATTATATAATTCACAAGATGAAAAAAAAATTAAAGGAAATTGAGGGATAAAAACGAAGCAGGAGTTTGCTAAAGAAGAAAAAATGTGTGTATGGCCTACAGATTAAACGGATCAAATTAAAAAGAAAAATTAATATTGGGGGATAAAAAAACATGAGTGTACAAAAGAAGAAAAAAAGTGTGCCTATATCATTCTTACAAAGTAAATAACTAGTACATGCATAATTAAGACAGGAAGAGAAACAAAGTTCTTTGGCATAAGAAACTACACATCAAGGCTTAGCGTGACAAAAATGAATGGAAGAGAGATGAATAAAGCTACATATCAGAGTTTAGTCGTCCAACTACCATCATAGCCCCCACCCTTAGACACAATTCAAATATGATAAACAATAAAATTACTACTCATCAACTTCAGTGGTAATAAGTTGCAGAATTAGCAATAAATCCCAGCATTGACAAAAATACATGATGCTTGTTGAATGAAAGGGACAAACATGGCTTGAAAACAGAGATAGAGATGATCTAATGACTGAAATGTTGTACGGATAAGCTCAAACCTTAAACTTCCCCAAGAGGTAGGAAGAGGAATCCTCCAAATCCCGATGAAGATAGTAGAAAACTTCCCATCAAAATTTGGAATCAAACTAAGGAAGGAAACAATTGGAATTAAATCCCATAATGAGACGAAATAGGCGAAGTAATCCAACTGTTGTGTAAAAGTTAATTCAGAAGACTCATATAGTGCCTTAGATTAGATTGAATTAGATAACTTACAAAAATTAGAATAGAAATCATTCATAATTAACCATTGTGCCTATTGTAACTCAGAAAGCTCATCTAGTTAACTAAGAACTCAAAAGGCACATACGAACAAGAAAGGTCATGATCTAACTCAGAAAGCTCGTCCAGTGCCTCAAATTAGATTAAATTGGACAACAAATCACAAAATATAGAAAGAAATAGTAAAGCCACAAATACATTGTTTACTTGTATTTGCCTTTTATTCATATCATACATACACACAATGGCACTTGCAACAAACCCTGCAAGCTGCGACTCTTTTACAATACCCAGCACATTATATTCTTTAGAGTACACTCCTAAACTCAAAACTAAAAACATGAAAAAAAGAAAGCCTTATTGGTCTTATTGGTTTATGATATATAAAGCACATTGGAATGACCACGACAAAGCGCAGAAAAACTCATGCGGCGCCGCAGCCTTATGGACATTTATACATACCTCTATATATTTGTACTATATATATACACCCCCTCCTATATATATTTGCACATATGAAGCATTGAAGAGTACCTTTTGCAACTTTATTTACCAAGCCACCACCTTTGATCTCTATACCTTCAATTTGATTGACATCATGCACCATTGAGACGAATGCGATGTTCCCAGAAATTTCCATCCATGAAGCCGCAGCCGAAAATGCCTTGATCAGCCACCCCTGGAAGATCAAGCGACATGGCTGCCTCCGTCCATATTGAGTCATCAAACACCGGAAAGCTCTCGCTCATGTTCCCCCAAAATATCCCATCCATTCCTTCATTGGTCACACCACTACTCATATTATTTTCCACTTTCATGCCGCCCTGCTCCGGCAGGATCTCAGCCCCGCCAGAATTATAATTTCCGAGGGGCTGATCCACTTTCACATTCGGAAAATTATTGTGAACAACAGGTACTGCAATATCTTTCACAGGAGGAGCATAACATGCAGGATTAGTCCCAGTACCTGATGGATTGTTCTGCACAAGGGTTTGGTTAGGAATTTGAGGTGGCACGCCGGCATTGGCCGACGAGGGAAATACTTGATGCTGCAGGTGCTGATTCAGTTGATAATGGTGATAGTTAGGGGCTTGCTGATCTGGCAAATTGAGCTTCGCTTCGGAACCGTAGAGCTTCCTGGCGGCGGCATCATAAGCCAGAGCAGCCTCATAGGAGGTGTCGAAAGTTCCGAGCCAGAGCCGGGCCCCGCGGTTGGGCTCGCGGATTTCAGCCACCCATTTCCCCCACGTCCTTTGCCTGACGCCCTTGTAAGTGCACATAGCGTTCTCCGGCCCTCCTTTCCCCCTCATGCAACCCTTCCTCGAGCTTCCCTGCGCTGGCCGCTTCGCCAGCTTCTTCTCCGCAACCCCAACACTGCTACTACCACCACTCATCTCCGCAACCCCAGCACTGCTATTACCACCACTCATCTCCATCGTCGACATTGTGAGAACTTTTTGAGAAGAATTGAGGATTTTTTCCGCGATTTTTTTATTTAATTCGGGTGGTGAGCTTGAGAAACCATAACCCGTAACGCTGCCGATACTTATATGAGGAGGAAGGCAGACAAGACCTGAAACGTGGCTTGTGGAGGATTAGGGCTTTGAATACTTGGCATGGTGAACGGGAGATATCGTGTCCATGGCTAGCCTCATTGTTCAAATCTCTAATACACACTTGGCTTACACCTTTGCTTACTTCCTTGCTCATGTGGCAATCGGAGAGGAGCAAAATTCCAGTTTTGCTTTCTCATTTTTCATTTTTTTTCTTTTATTATATTCGGAATACAATTACACAAAAGATTCACGTCGGATCTTTAACTCAGAGATGAATTGTAATGGATGAATAACAGTAGAAGAGAAAATTTTCAAACTGTACAGAGTACTGACTGAGTATGACTTTCTGGAGCTGATTGAAAGATAAGTGAAAAGTGGATGAATAACAGTAAGAGAGAAATTCTTAAACTATACAAAAAAACTAATGATCTTTCTGAAGCTAAATGAAAGTTCAGATAAATGAGAAATAGATTAATAACAGTAGGAGAGAAAAAATTTAAACTGTACAGAAAACTAACTGAGCATGTTTTTCTGAAAGACGGTGAAGTTGAGAGAAAACAAAACTGACTGAGCATATAGATGAATAACAGTAGGAGAGAAAATTCTTCATCTATACAAGAAACTTACTATCTTTCTGAAGCTGGCTGAGAGTTTAGATATGTGAGAAATGAATGAATAACATTAGGAGAGGAAATGGATGAATAACAGTAGGAGAGAAAATTCTTAAACGGTATAGAAAAATGTAAAGCTTTATGAAAATTGAGATAAGTGAGAAACTTGTTGACAGTTGAAATAGGTGTTTGTTTATAATTTTCTTTTCACCTTTTATATAAATAACAAGATAAACTTTCTCATTTTTTTTTCAAAATATTTGAAAAAGAAAAGTATTGGATTAATGAATGTATTTTTTTTCATAGAATCTGTTTTTTTAAGGGTTAAATTTATAACATTACAATGAAATCCACATTTATGTTAAAGTTGTATAATTATAACCTAAGATTAATAGAAAGGAACAAAAGGTGTAGATACAACAAGATTGATTAATAGGTTTTAGTTCATCTAAACCATTTGTTGTGATAGTAGACTCACAATATATATCAGAAATATTTGAGAAATTTGCTAAAACATGTATTAGATTTTTATTTTTCATGTTAATAACTATATATTAGTGCCGCAAAACCATTTGTATTGGTGTTTGACCCATCCTGAAAGTCTTAGAGATACTTGAAGAAGTCACCGATTTAGTTCTCTCTTGTTTCTATGTATAAAGAGATAAGAACTCTATTCTTCTTCGCTCTTTTTTTCTTCTCTTTAATTTTATTGTTTTCAATATTTTGGAAAAGGAAAAGTGTTTTGAGTTTACTAGGAAGGGAGATTTTTGGATGAATAGTGATTTAGTAATGAAGGCTGTGTGAAACAGTTGGAGATAAGATCCTACTTTAGTTCCCAAAACGAGGGCTTGACAATTAGCAGTTTAGCACGTAAAACCGACGCCGTTGTAACCTAAATTTTCCTTTCTCCATAGCGTCAATCCAGCTGCTTCATCACTGTCGAAGCAACAAACGACTTCACAGTTTCTTTAAATCCCAAATTAAAATCACTGTCATCGATAACCTGTCAATAAAACACCAAACTAAAATCCCATAAAAAATCAGATAAATAATAGAATTCGAGTCCAACATCAAATAAAATCCCCAAGTGGACAAATGCAGCAAGCCCTAATTACAAATACAAAGAAGATTCACGTCGGATCTCTAACTCAGAGACGAATTGTAATGGATGAACAATAGTAGGACAAAAAAAATTTATACTGTACAGAAAACTGATTGAGAATAAAAGAAAGTCTTTGAGAGGTTTATGGAGGTATTTGCCTCCTTTTTTTTTTCTCTCTCTCTCTCTCTCTCTCTAGGGAGGTGTTTGGATGATGGTAGTTTTTTTAAAAGGGTTCGTCGTATATTAAGTTATAAAATTATTTTGGATATAAAAGTTGTAAAATTATAACCTAAGAGTAATAGAAATGCACAAATGGTCTAAGATACAACAAGATCGATCAATAAGTTTTAATACATAAAACCATTTGTTGTGATAGTAGAAAGTTAGTCTAGATATCTCAAAGTACTCGAGAAATTTGCAGAAACATGAGTTATAGTAAGTAATCACTTGTATTGGTGTTTCAAAGAAATATTAGTGTAGCAAAACCATTTGATTTGACGTTTGACTCATAATGGAAGTCTTGAGATACTTAAAGAATTTAATAACAAAGACACAAGTCAGATTTCTTTTTGTTCTCTCTTTTCCCTTGTTTATAAACAAGAGAGAAGAAGAATATCTGTTTTTCACCTTTCTATATTTTGGCAAAGGAACGGTGTTTTGGGTTTACTAGGTAGTGAGAAAAGAACTTAAGTTAGTTCCCAAAACCAGGGCTCGCCAATTAGCAATTTAGCATGCAAACGCTTAGACACACTTTAGAGAAGATTCATGTCAGATCTTTAACTCAGAAACGAATTGTAATAGATGAATAATAGTCGGAAGGAAAATTTTTAAGTTGTACAGAAACAGACTGAGTATGTCTTACGAAAATTTACTGACACGTTAGATACTGAAATTTACTGACAAGTGAGATAAGTGAGAAACTTGCTCATACTTAAAAATTTGGAAAATAAAGTGTTTGGGGTTTATGGAGTTTTTTCTAATCTATAGAGGTATTTGGATGATGTGTTATTTTTTAAAGGTTATAAAAATTGTTTCGGATATTAAATTTATACAATTATAACCCAAGAATAACAGAAAGGAATAAAAAGTGTAGATACAACAAGATTGATTAATAAGTTTTAGTATATCAGAACCATTTCTTGTGATAGTAGAGAGTCATATTATATAACTAAGAAATACTTAACGAAATTACTGATGCAGACACAAGTTGAATTTTCATTTTTGTATTCTCTTTTTCTTTATTGATAAACAGATAAGAACTCTAATTTTTTTTTCAATATTTTGCAAAAAAGAAAAGTGTTTTGGGTTTACTTGGAGATAAGACCATCTCCAGCCCATGGAATAAAGTTTAAAATATAATCTTTAAAATCCCCTCAAACTATCTTCAACCATTGGACTAAAATAAGCTATGAGGAGAAAATATATCTCTGGGTTAGATTCCACCAGGATTTAAATCTGACTTAAATTATTCTGGACCCACCAAACTGTCATATTTCAAACATTTTTTTGTTTTCTATATATCATATAACGGTTGTGATCAAATCTAATGGTAAAAAAAATTAAAAATTTGACGGCCCAAAATTAAATCTAACATCTAAAATAATTTAAGAAAATTATTTAAATCAAATTTAACTTAAAACTTTATAAATACCTATGTACTTGTATGATTTTTAATTACTTATCGGAATTTAAATATTAAAATGTTCATAAATATAAATTAGGATAATCTACATAAATTTTATTTTCAAAAAATAACGAAAAAGAAAAATTAAGCTAAAATCATTATTTAATAATTTCGGACTAAAATTTTAAGTCATAAGAGTTGGATAAAAAAAAACAGTTTCTAAATTATGACTTAAAATTTTTTGTCTTAAATTTTTAAGTTTTATATTTAAGAGTTAGAGATAGTGAGAGATTTGGATGAACGGTGATTTACGAACGAATGAACTGTTGGATTTAAGAAGCTACGTTAGTTCCCAAACCAGGGCTTGACAATTCGCATAGCATGCAAACCGCTTGATACGTGCTGCGTTTTGCTAAATCCCCATGACAGCAGAACAGATTCAATGGATGAATCATATGAGTTTATGATCTGTGGGTCCCCTGCTGCGAGTTTTCCGAAAAGGATAGGAAGCCCAGAGAGTGCAATGGATCGTACCAGCATATTGAACCTGATTCATAGGGACTGATTCTCATTTCCTCAGTTTCATGTTCACACTGTTGTGTTATTGTTGTTGTCCTGCAGTCAATCATGACAACATGACATACACACGTATTCACCTGCGGTTATCCAATATTTTCAAAACCTTGAAATTGTAAAATTAGAAAAATAAATAAATGATAAATTTTATTTGTCATAGTATTTCAACGTAAAGTACATTGAAATCACTAATTAAAAAACTTAAATCAGATTACAAAAATTAATAGAAAAAAAACAAAGAATAAACTATGTCAGGATTTTACGTACTGAACGTACACTGACATATATATCTTTAACAAACCTTTAAAATCATAACAGTTAAAATACACGTAATTGATAACTATCTCGAATCATTTCATACACACATGTTCATGCAGTAAACCTCTGCATATACACATACTTTCTACTTATCTAATCATTTTAAATACCTTAAAATCACAAAAATTGAAATCGAAGTAAAAAAAAAAATCAATTATAGGATAAACAAAAAAACCAAATAATACACGGTACGAATTGTAGAATTCTTCTTACGAACCATACACTAACATCTTTTTTTAATGATTCTCATAAGACACTTGTCACGGCTCACATATAACATACATATAAACCTTCAAACATCACATGTTCTAGCACACAAATACATATAAAATGTATGTATTTATCACCCTCTCAGATCTCAACCATTACTCTTCATTTGGTATTACTGAAAGAAATCGAACCCTAATCTAACTCTTTATCTATTTCAAATTTCGTCACTTTCACTACTTGGACTAATATACAGAACACTGGATTGAAGTATAAAAGGAAAAAAAGATTGCATTCGTGCCTTCATTATAGCGTGTTAATATATCTTCCGCATATATACACACTCAGCTTTTTATGCTCAATGCAAACGTTTACTCTGATGCCTTTTCCTGCAAAAACCGATGGGAACATAGTGAAACTTTTGTTTAGCCTGCTGCCATTTTTTTTTTTTTTTGAATTTTTTGTAGAGACGGATTAGGCGAGATTAGCTCTTCGTCAACAGTCGCGTGCGAGGCACCAACCCTCTCCCAAAGGAGAAAGGACCGTTGCACCCGGAAACCCCCCGCCCGTCCCCCCTCTACAAGAATTTATTAATAATAAGAAGAAAAAAGGAAAAGTAGAACAAACGGGGGGACTAGGCCAAAACCCGCTAAAAACAATTATTGAAAATGATATGGACTAGTTTAAGGATGCTTAGCTTCAGTCACCTAAAATTGAATTTCCATAATTCAGTTGATTATATTTCTTTCCCGAAATCCTCTTCCATAGCAACATTTTGCTCCTCATGAGCTCGAACGGAAGAATGGAAGCCCGACACAATCTCTTCTATAAGACGCATCAGCAAAATCGGGTACCAAGTCCCACCACGTAAAGCTACTATTCATTGCACCAAAATTAGCAAAAGCATCCGCCAAACAATTCCCTTCCCTGAAAATATGCGAAAAACGCAAATGCAAGCGAGCAATATGCCATAAACAATTTGCCCAAGAAACTTTAAGAAACCATGGAACATCCATGGAGTGAGCTGATAGTAGGCTGATGACATGCATAGAATCTGTCTCTAACCAAATGTTATGCCATTTTTTATCCCATGCAATCTGAATTGCCTCGATGACAGCCACAATCTCCGCAACAACTGCACTTGGATAAGAAGACGAGGAGGCAAACGCTCCTAAAAAAAGACCACTGGAGTCACGAAAAACACCACCACTACCCACATGACCATTCCCTTTACAAGACCCGTCTGTGTTAATCTTAATCCACCCAACAGGAGGCGGACGCCAAAACACAGGCATGAAACTAAGAGCATCCAAAGAAAGGGATGAAATTCTTAACATGGAGAATATGGGAATCGATACACAACCAGTGAAAGAAGAAAAACAAGTAGAAGCAAAAACTTAATACTTTATGGCTCAATCCTCATAAAAAAATAAAATAAAATAAAATAAAATAACAACTTAGTACTCCATTCGATCGACCAAATCATAGTTTAAGCTAGAATTTTTTTTTCGCGTGATCACAATTAAAAGAAATTTCATCACTTTTTCAAAGGCTTAACCTACTAAAATAAGTAACTGGCCTCCATAAAAACTTGAATTACATCCAAAAACTTAAAATAACTTTCGTCAGTATTATTATGATAACTTTCGTCAGTATTATTATAGTCTCATGACTACATTATTATTGCAAACTTGCAGTTTTACGACTACACAGACTCTTTCTTGTACTTATCTAAACATTTTTAAAATCATAGAAGTTGAAGGAATTTAAAGAAAATACTAAAAATTAATAAAAGAATGAATCTCATAATATCACATGACTTTAAACAAACGTACATCTAGTTACATTAGCTTTCTAAATATTGTCATAACCCATATGTCATGGCTCATATTACAAAAAGAAACAACACTAAGCATCAGTTTTTTAACAACTCTTAAAACTCACATGTCATGACTCGTATATAGATACAGACAAAATGATATCAATTCGTCACTCTCTGAGATCTCAATCATGACTCTTCATTTGTCGTATTGAAAGGAACTGAACCCAAATATAGTTTTTTCTAATCTAACTTCCGTCCTCTCTCACTACTTGAAACAAATAGAAGAACATTATCTCGTTTAGGGATTTGGGCATAAACGCAAAGCCAAAAAAAAAAAAAAATTTGATGTGTATTACACGAACTAATCAATGCATCTTCGGTATAGATCCCCTTGAAACTCATGGTCTCATTCTCACCGCTCGATTACAATGCTTTGTTTCAACCTCGACACTTGCACAGACCGGCTCTTTACCGCCTTAGGCATTTTGTTTAGGCTGCTGCTGTTGTTAATACACGGAACTAAGCATGAGTAGCTCTGACCGACTATAATAAGCTTTGCAGATTTATACCAAATGATCTGTCACAGCAAAAATATTAATACCTCTCAATCCTTCGAATGATCTGAAGAACTTAATTAGTTCGTAAATTTAAGTAGATAGACAAAGGAGAAAGGGAATGAAAAGAGATTGCATTCATGCCTTCCTTGTAGTGTGTTACATAAATTAACTTATACATCTTCCGCATATATATACAAGTTACAGCACCCAAAAACGATCCAGAGTCTCTTCTTATCCAGTGTCTCTCATTAACAAGAGACTCTCTCACACTCAATTCCTATGCTTCGTTTATGCCTCGGCACTTTCGCAGACCTGCCCTTATCGCCTTCAACATTTCGTTTACTCTGATGCCTTTCCTGCAAAAACCAATGGCAAGATAGTGAAACTTTTGTTTACGCTGCCGCTGTTACTGCATAAACTGAGCAGGGACTGTTGTTACTACATGGAACTAGGCAGGGGTAGCTCCAATTAACTATAACAAGCTTTATAGATTTATGCGAAATAATCTGTCAAGCAATAACTTGATACTTCATGGCTCAACCCTCCCAACAAAAAAAGAAAGAACTCTACCAGATCGACAAAACCAGTGGAGAAAAAGTTAACACTAGAGAAACAGCAATGAAGTTTATGCATAGAATTCAGGATATTAGAAAGAATGAAAAGTAATAGTGATAAACTTACAATACACTGACTCCTACAATAGCAAGGGGTCGTGGATAGTCCTCTATATCTTTATCCTTTCTGTCTTTGGTCGGAGCTTTTGATGAACTTACATCAGCATTCTCACCTTCAGGGACCGGCTGTTTAACTGCACCTGCAGTGCTCATTTCTGGCTCAGAGGATGCTGTATCACAACCAAGCCTCATTATTTCTTCCGTCAAAGATGGAAGCCTGTCCTTTGCCTGAAATGAATATACATCTTAACATTAATAAAAAATGCAATTTAGGAGGATATGACAGTATCTCACAGAACCAAGGTATTAGTGGCAAACAAAGGATAGTGATCAGAATCGGGAAGCATTTTCACGGCAGCAAAAATAAAAAGAGACACAAACCTGGGGAAGGTCAATTTTATTCAACACCACTATATATGGTCGTTCAAGGTAATCAGGATTATACATTCGCAATTCCTGAAAATTATAAAACTGGTAGTTAGCATCAGGTCAAACAACATTCAGCTAGAACGACGGTGAGGTATCTGTTATGCACACTAACTTGTGAATCAAATACAGCACATGGATAAGGGGGCACATACTTCCTTGACAGTTCTGTAGTCATTCACAGGATCCTCAGCTGCTGCATCAACAACATGGACCAATAGCCGAGTCCGCCTCAGATGCCTCAAGAAATTGCGACCAAGACCCTAAGGGAGGACAGAGTTTGAATTATGAGAGTTGGAGCTTTAGAATAAGTGAAGAAACATGATATCAAGCATTACCTTCCCAAGATGAGCACCTTCAATAAGACCAGGCAAATCTGCCAAAGTTGCTTCAGAAGAATACATCCCTGGCCCTAAACTTGGGTCGCCATCAAGGCGTCCAAGGTTTGGCATTAAGGTTGTGAAAGGATAATCAGCAATATCAGGTCTTGCAAGTGTAGTGGCGGCCAAAAGGGTTGATTTTCCAGCATTTGGAAGGCCCTGCAACAAAAGCAGGAAACATTAGGAGTCTAAAGACCATACTAGCACCTTATATAAGTAGTCTTACCCCATTTCTTTCTCGTTGAACCATGTAACACCAAAATATAATCAAGAAAAAATTAAAACCTAAGAAGGGATATTTGTTACATTTAGCCAATAACAACATCTAGTGAAGGAGTCAGCAAGGTTTTCTCTTTGATTCTATTCAAAATTAATTTAATCAAAATATTTATTACTCGTTTTCTTGTGCATATAACCAAAAAGTTTTGAGATGTAACTTGCAAAAGTCTCTATTTAGATTTCCCTTCTCTCCAAAATTTGCTAACTAGTGTAAGGAACTGCTGAAGAATCATTACCATAATACCAATAGTTAGGCATCAGCTCAACCGTGTCAAATTTTTTACAATACAGCAAATCAAAACTGGAAACCAAATCCAATAAAGTACAATCTGGTCTGACAGATTTTGTGCTTAACATGGTGAGGTGGTGTTTCATTTTCGGAAGGCTAGGTACCAAGAATATCAGGTACCACCAGTTCCATTAACACCATGGTGATATGATAATTGAACTTCTAAGAGCAGAAGTTCAACCAGAAAAGCAACCCAATAGAGAAAGATACTTAAAAAAATATAGAGCATGGGAAATCAATACTTACAACCAACCCATCAGCTCAACTGTGTCAAATTTTTTACAATACAGCAAATCAAAACTGGAAACGAAATCCGATAAAGTACAATCTGGTCTGACAGATTTTGTGCTCAACATGGTGAGATAGTATTTCTTTTTTGGCAAGCAAGGTAACAAGAATATCAGGTACCACCAGTTCCATTAACACCACGGCGATATGATAATTGAATATGATAAATGAACTCCTATGAGCAGAACTTCGACCAGAAAAGAGAGATACTTTAAAAAATATAGAGCATGGGAAAGCAATACTTACAACCAAACCAACGTCAGCAACAACTCGTAAGATCAACTCCAAACTAACCTCCTCTCCTGGTTGACCAACAGCTAAAATCTGAAACAATTCAAAAATTACTTACAAGCTGTTTTAAACGAAACACATATGACTCGATTATTTTCGTTATTGGAAATTTTGTATTTTTCTACTCCATAGAAAGGTATACACTACAGTATTAGCACAATTTTACCTTATCACTATCATCTCTCATCACATTTGTTGTCAAAGCCATAACCTTTTTCTTGCTACGCTCCGGTGTTTCTACCAAGCTAATCTGCCACAAAAGCGGAAAAAATTAAAATGTGAACTGCAGACTAGCATTGACATAATCTGCTGCATAACAGCCTTGACAAGTTAGATGATACGAAATTTGGGGCTATCACTCAATCCGTAAGAAGCAGGTTGTCTCACCCCTCCTTGTCCACCCCTCGCTACAAGAATTTCGTCCCCTGGCCGTGCTAGATCAGCCAACAAGGTTCCTCGCTTACGCTTCACTACCGTACCTATAGCACAAATACATAAATTATAATAAGCATCCTACCACATTATAATCAGCGGTTACGCCACTGAGGGACAAACTCCCAATTCATCACATCCACTGCAACAAATCATAACAAAAGAACACCAAAACAATCTACAAACCTGGCGGCACAGGAATACGCAGGGCCGGAGCAGAAAGTCCATCGTGCAACTGGGATGTCAAGACCCCCATTGCAGCCACATTTCCACCGCGTTTTGCATTGAACCGGTTTTTCGTGTGAAATTCCAACAACGAATCTTTACCCTCATCAGCATAAATCACAACATCACCTCCATGGCCACCCACAGGAAGAACAAGGGCCCCACCAAAATCCCTTTTCAGCAAGCTCTTCCTCCTCAGCTTCTCCTTCTCATGCTTCCCTTGCGGCGGCTTGCTGGGAGGTCTCTGGTTCGGCATGGCGAGGACCGCGCCGTGGCCTCCGTCGCCGGAACGAAGGGTGATGATCACCTGATCAAAGTACTTGTGAGGTTCCTTGATTAAAGTATTGGGTTTTTGAGCAGAAGATAACTCCTTGGCTCTGGTGCTAATTCGGCAGCTTACTGAGAAGAATCTGACATTTTTGGACTTGTTCGAGTCCTGCTCACACCTACATGTAAAACGCCATCGAAATTACTGTCTGCTTAGTTGCTGCATTTAAGCGTTTAGTACTGGGGGAGAAGGTTTTACAGATTTGTCGGGAAACCCTAATGTTCAGAGGTTACCTTTGGGGGAAAACGGTGCCGTAGAAGGAGGATTTGTGGCGGAAGAGGTAGGAAGTTGACGGTGGCGGGGAGATGAGAGACGCCATATCCGAATGGAGAAGCAACTCGAGTGAGGGAGGGAGGGAGCGAGCGACACAAACGGTCCAACGGACGAAGAAGAGAGCTGGCGGGACTGATAGTTTCTAACCCCAGTCCATTACTGCTTTACTGTACTTCAAAGCCCAAATAAATGGCGCTACTAATCTTTTGCAACTTTTTAACTTTTAAGCCCAAATAGATGCATCCCACTTTCAATTGGTTATGAGTTTCCCAATTTTCGACACGTGTTTGTTATTCTATACTACGATTTAGTGACTTTTTCTTTTACTAACTAGCATTTGCCTACACATTTTGTGTGTATGAACACATTTTTTTAGAAAATGAGAAGAAGAGTCGGAGAGAGAGAACGGAGTGTGGGAGGTTTTTTTTTTTTTTTTTTAAAGAGGGTTTTATTAATTAGTAGAGATAAATAAGAGATTTGAGATTAAAACCTTTTGACGTTTTCTACACATTTTTTTTCATTTAGTATTGCGTTCTAGAGACATTTTCTTCACTTATAAGGTCTTAAATTTGAATTCCTAAAATGACAAGTCCGATAATAATGATATATTTCATCAATTAAATTGATGAGATATATGATTGTATAAAACTAAACAACACGTCAATTTACTCTCAATCGTCAAAATTGTCGACCTAAATGTTATTTGCGTCCGTTAATGGGGCATCGCTAACGGAAAAATGTGACAAATTTGACAACGAAAGCAATCGAACTAAGAACATTAATTCATGTGGCTCTAGGGTTAAACCTCGAATCAATTTGAACCCCATAATCAAACTACTTCACTCGAGGAAGAGCTAACTGGACTTTACAAGTGTTCTACTCAAAATCTGACATCGAAACTTAAAGATAGATTACACAAGTTTGCAAGTCTTAAAATAAGCACCATAACATATGCAAGCCTTGCATTAATGCCTAAACGAAAACCAATTGGCACATACCCCATCCGAGTTTTCGACGTTCATCCCCTTCGATTACTCCTTTCTATACATGAAATAATGTACGACACCAAATCCATATGTGCCGACGTGGTCGGAAGCAAACTAGGCAAACTGTAGTATATGAGAATTCAACAACCGCCAATCATCCCCATCCGGTGCTGCTCCAAAAGTTTCATCCACTTAGCTTCTAAGAAAATCATACAGAGAAAATGGTGGATTCCCATTCTGCAAAACCACGTAGTAATAGAGTGAATAACGCAATCTTGCAACGCACTACACATTTCACTTATCCTAGCAACTAATTAGTTGTTCATCCTTAGTATGTGCATATGGCTTTAACACGGATGTTTAGACCTCTGCAATCCCAACAGGAATATAGCACTTGGATATAGACCAAATAATCTAGTCAGTTTTTAAAATTGGGATAAGCATGAAATTCTGCAAAGCTAATGAAATTCCGATAGTGAAAATCGGGATTGAATTTACCCAAATTCAGCCTCGAGAACGGACACAAAAATAAAAATTAACTAACTGCATGTTACCTTGGCATTATCTTCACTCATGCATTGTCTAACTACAGTGGTCTGTTGTATTAGCCTTTCCAGTGCAGAATAATTGGGCAGGTTTGAATGCTCTGAGCCATACAACACAATAAAACAAGACATTAATGACTGTTTCAAAGACATTTATAATCAAAGAAAATAAGCATACGAGATAGGCACGGTACGGTTATCTCTGCAAAGAATCGAAACAAATATGATACACAGAAGTAATGAGAAATTTGGGAAACAAACCAAGAACTGCTCGATTCAAACTGTCTGCAACTTGCTGCCGATAGTCAAAGCTAAGCAAATGAAACATAGGAGACTTCTCCGGTTCTTCATAAGCAAGCAGAGCCATGAAGTCCTGAAGCAATACCAAACTCTGAGTGTCATACCAACATGAATAAACATACACAAAACATAAGCATATACTTATATAAGGAATATTTAAGAGTTTGAAGCATACTTCAAGCTTTGTAACGTCTTTTTCCACCTTCCCAAAGGGGGTCAACTTGTTCTGGGCAAATTCCAAAGCTTCTGTGCTGCCAAAGAAATAAAGAATTAAAATAGCACGACGGGCACAACTAACAAGGTGTCATTGTAATTTTGCTCACCATTTTTTAGCGCAAACAAGTTCAACAAAGTGCAGGCTCAGAAGGTCAAAATGCAAGTCTTTGTTTTTCTCCAGTAAGTCAGGTGCCAACTCTTTCGTCAGTTCAATCGCCTTAAGAGCATCCCCTTCCACTCTACATTGAAAAATCCCTGAAGACAACAAAACATACATTTGGCATCGTCACTGATCAACCACTCCAATATTATCCCCAATAGCAATAAAACAGCTTTCAATATGAAGGGTCCCTTTGGAAAAAAATCTTGGTTCTCCGGATTCCCGGGTGGTCTGGGTGTTTTAACCTTTAGATCTTTATTTTTGCATTTTCAAACAAAGATCTTACGATTAAAACACCTGGAGCACCGGATAAGCCAGAGTACCTTAGAAAGTCCCTCCATTTGGAGCTGCTTCTGTAAGAATCACTCCCGCTCATAGTACTTTTGCTGTACTTTTATGTATTATAAACACGTTCAAACTTCTATGCTTCTTAGAGAAGCTTCTCTAGAAAACGCTTTTGTACCCCAAAATCACTTTTTAAGTTCTTCTAACAACAATAATCAAAAGCGCTTTTAGTTGGTAGTAAATGCTTTTGGAATCCTAAAAACCAATCCCCAACAGCCTGAACCATTCGATACAATGTGTTCAATTTCAATCATTATATGAAAGTAAACTCGACATCATTGCAAACCTACTATTTCTTTTCTCCATATCCTCAACGCAGTCGGCAGGCTGCTTCGTCCCCGTCGAAGCAACAAACGACTCCACAGTTTCTTTATAGCAGTTATGCACAAGGTATGACAGAACAATATTGTGGATATCATTGTCATTGATAGCCTGCTAATAAAACATCAAATTAAAATACCCCATAAAAAATCAAATAAATAATATAAAAAAAATATAGATAATTCGAGTCCAACATCAAATAAAATCCCCAATTAGGCAAATGCAGCAAGCCCTAATTACAAAATCAACGAGTCAATGACTAAAATCAATGAAATTGAGCACTAATTAGGTAATTATTGTACAATTCTAGGAATTTGAAGTGAAATAAGGTTGTGGAAATTGCATTAATTGGAGAAAATAAGAACAGAGAACTGGAAACTTACAACTTGATTGAAGTGACGAGGATCGACGTCCATGATTCGCCGCGTTCTGAAATCCTACAGTGCGGAATGAGGCTGAGGAACGGAGGTGGGTGCGGCTGAGGAACGGAGGTGGGTGCGACACAACGAACGATTGTACGTATCAGCTGGCGAATCCGAGTCAGTTCGAATCACTGGAGATAGTGATCAGATCTCTATCTGTAGTATTCACCGTGCCTTTACTTGTCTTCTTTAAAATGTGGGGAAAACTTGTGTCGATCAGCCAATAATTGATGCCACGTCGTCGTTTAATTTCACTCACCAATAGAGAGAATGGTTCTAATTAAGTAATCGAAAAGAGTAGTCTTTGAGAGATTAAGAGGATGTAGTCAAACTAAGATTTTAAAGATTTTAAAGGATTTTAATTTTATAGAATTTATGAGGATTTAAGACTCCTACAAAATTCATATGGATTTAAAAAAATTTGAATGGATTTAGTTTGTAGATTTTGGTGGATTGTGGTGGAATTTCATATAATTTTTTTTATTAGAAAAAAAAATCTTTCCCCTTGCCCTACTGTACTCGATAGCCACTTTATTCCCTTCTTTTTCGGGTCCTCTTTCACACAACCACAGCTCCATCTTTTTCTCAATTGATAGATCAACATAACTTTGATGAGTTTTGAGCACTACACCACCAACAACCATCACCACTAACTGCTCTTTTGCCATAAACGTATGTTGTGGTACTTTAGTAGTGCTTGTAGTACCACAAATATTAAAAAATCAGAATGACGAGAAAGTAGTATTAACCAAAATCCTAAATCGATCATGTCCTTTGATGATCATACATGCCTCGTTAAGGTCTAAGGGTCATAATAAGATATTCCACCAAAGTATATGGTGGTTACCTGTGTGTGGTTGGTAGAGATTTGAGGACTACCCAGATGGAAAAGGATTTGAAATCCTAGAGGGTGAGGTTAGATTCTTTTTTGTTTTGGTTATATATACTTGTTGCTCTCAAATCCCACAAAATCCACAACTTATTGAAATCCTAATTGACTACACTATGATTTTAAAGTCTTTTAAAATCCTCTCAAATCCGAGTTTGATTACACCCCCTAAGGTTGTAGATTAAATTTTGAAAACTAAAAAAATATGGAAGTTGATGATTGATTTATTACTTAAGCGTTAAAAAAATATCAATACAATGAACTATAAAAAGTATAAACAATATTTTTATCATCAATAACATGTGATTTATTTTGTTGGTAATAGTATTTTTTTTTTTATTGTGGGTTCAGAACTCTATAATTAAATGTAAAACTGAGTACTCTTAATAAATACAACCATATGCATTTGTCCATATTAAATGGTCTAACATGAGTCTACACAACAACGACAAAGTCTTGTACTACTAAGAATTCGATTATATGAATACTAAAACACTATTATGATCGATTTTACGCAATTTTCCGTTAGCTCCAAGTAATCGAAAAATATAAATACTATAAACTATAAAGTATAAACAACATTTCCATCATCAATAACATGTGATTTGTTTTGTTGGTAATAGCTTCTTTTTTATTATTATTGTGGGATCCGAACTCGATACCAAAGCGAAAAAATGAGTATTGTTGGTCGACTGGGATACGAGCATTATGCATTTCTCTTCGACAACCAAAAAAAATTTATTCTCCACTAAGTGGGTCGACTGTATGAATCTTAAAACGTCATTGTGCTCAATTTTGCGCAAAATATTATATTAACTTCAAGTACTCCATATCTTTTCTTAAAAGTCACTTTTCAAGTTTTATGAGGTCTCCCTCTACTCATTTCGTCTTGAGCCCTCCATCTTTAACCGATTTTTTCTATCTGTAAATAAGAGTAGGGGCCATCCTTATCGTCGACAAAGTTTGTTGTACGCAAAAGGCGGGATAACAGTTGGTTTCATCGTTAATGCTTCGTATCCGACAAAGACAGGGCAAAACCCTCCTCTTCCCCCACCTTCTCCGACCCCGGGTCCGACCAAATGTGACCTCTTTACGCACAGCGCAGCAGGGCAAACGTGCTGTTGTGCCAAGAGGTTTCTCGGAATATGGTTTGCTTGGAGATGCTGTGAGTTGAACTCCGCTGTTTGTTGCAAGGACGACAGCCACTGCTGCCCCCATGATCATCCCATCTGTGATACAGAAAGGGCGCTCTGCCTCGAGGTTCGTATGAATCTTTCCCCGTCAAACATAGGAAAATGATTTCCTCACACTCATCACCATCATTGCTTAATTTTTCTGATTGTTAACGGAACTTCTAATACGATATTGTCAAATTGGGCACTCGTTCGAGATTGTCAAATTAGGCACTCGTTTGATAACCATTTCGTTTTAGGATTTCAAATTTGTCAGCTGAGAAATGAATTTGGAGATCAACACACATGGATCCCATATAAAGTTACGACGTATTTGCAAATTGAACTTACAAATTAAGAATATATCTAAAAGATCTACAAAAAAAAGGAGCAAAATTGAAAATTTTACAAGTTGATTGCTTTCATTTATAGAGATTGCAACAGTGGTATACTGGTGCAATTCCGATACCTCAATCCCAATTTCCGTTCAATTTTCACGCCGACGGGAAGACGTCTTTGACGGCGGAGGCCGCCGTCAAGTAATTGAGAGTGTTCCTCAGCGTCTCCTTCTCTCTCTTCAACCGCGCCGCCGTGTCCTCCAATTCCAGCAACGCCTGCTGCTCTCTCGGCGCCCCTTCAAACGTGCTCCCAACAAAAAACGAAAATAGCGTCGGAAATAGGTGCCGCCGCAGGTCCTGCACATCCTTATCGGGCTTCCCGCCCAACCGATTGGACAACCGAATCACATCCTTCATATGCGACTCGACCTCGTTCGCCAACGCTTCCAGGTCGTCCTCGCCGTCGCTCGACGGCCGGTCTTCAAGCCACTTGACCTCCGCCACCAGGTAGGGTTTGGTGCGGACGAGGTCGGTGATCCGAAACCGCTCCTGGCCCTTGCAGATGAGGAAGAACCGGTCGTCGACAAGGCGCTCGTGCTTGACGACCTCGCCGATGCAGCCGACGTCGGCGGTACCGGAGACGGCGTCGCTGTATATTACCCCGAAGCGGAGATCCGTCTGGAGGAGGGAGTGCATCATCATGCGGTAGCGGAACTCGAAGATCTGGAGGGGGAGGATGGCGCCCGGGAAGAGGACGAGGGGCAAGGGGAAAATGGGGAGCTCGACGACGTCGCCTGATTTGGGCTGATTGGTGGGGTGGCGCTCAGAGAATGAGGAGGCTGTGCATTTGAGGGATCCGGGCCGTTGGCGGCAGCGGTGGAGGCGGGGGGAGAGGATATTAGGGTTAGGGTTTAAGGGGGAGGGGAGGGGATTAGGGTTGAAGGTGGGTTTATGGGGGAGGGAGGAGGAGGAAGAGGAGGGGATGAGCTGAGGGAGAGCCATTGGAGCGGCGTTGGGATGAGGAGGAGAGGGAAAGCGAGTTAGAATGCCATGTTTGTGGAGGGGAGAGAGTGACCAGTTCTTTCTGTTTTTCTGTTTCTCTCCCTCTAAATTTTCAGAAAATGTGGAAAAATCTGGTGGTTTTGAGGAGGCGAGGGAGATGTGGATAATATGGAGAGAGAAAAGGCAAAAGTGTCAATCAACTTAGCAAATACCCATTTTAAAATAATTAAAAATTATTTTATAAAAAATTATTGAATTTCAAAATTTCTCTGTATTTTTTAAAAAACACTTTAAATATTTTTTCAAGATCACTTGTATTTAACAAAAAAAAATTAAAGTAAAAAACATATTTACCAAAAGCATCTAGAATCATTTTAAAAATATTTTAAAATGAGTCTTATATTCTTTTCTGTCACATAATAATATTATTAAACTAAAACATCTTGTTGATAATAAACTCATGTAATGTAATTTGTTCTTATTATTTGGTAGATGGCAAAGGATTTGGAAATATGGGGAGTGTTTGGATGTGGTTTTAGATTTTCCCACGTGGAAGTTGGGCTGGTGATTTCTATGGTTTGGTTGGTCTATCATTTTCATTCAACACACAAAAATCTTCAAACACCATTTTTATTTGTCTTCATTTTCACCCAATAGTGTGGATATTGTTAGGATAATGATTTTCCCAACTCTCATTATCCAATCTTCTTTTGTTGTTGTTTCTTAATTCTCTACTAATTTCTTCTCTCACCGGATAAAAAAAATACAAAAAAAACTAAAATGAAGGGTAGAAACACTATTAATATTCAAAATAAACAAAATGCCCCTAATGTTTAATTCTATTTACTTATGTTGAAGTTTAAACTACAATAATGGTAGATCAAGGCATTTCTCAATCTTTTTTCGGTTTGTAGCTCAGGTAGTTAAGAGCATTCGAGCATTCGTTCATTCACTCGAGGTTCTGTATTCGAATCTCTTCTCCTTTTAATTTAGATAAATTTAATGTTAGTGATTATTTTATCGTTTCCTAAAAAAAAATATTTTCCTAATTTATTAACTTCACATTTACATTTCAAACTGGTGATCTTCCTTCCTTCCACCTTCCACGAAATACGTCGTTTTTGCCGTTTAGGCAATGGGCCCAGGCCGATCATGTTGATGGATAGGCAGGAAATAAAACGTGCTAATTCTGTCTACTAAATGACATGAAAGTTAATAATTGAATTATTACTTAAACATTGATTAACGTGTTCATTTTATATTGATGACACATCATGTTAAAAATTTAATTTTTCTAACATTATTCATTATTTTCTCACTTGTTACGTAGTGAATAAAAATGCGGTGGCCCTTGATCAATTTAAGGCGGCGAGAGCCATCTACAACCGCGTGGATTATATTCCTATTTGGACCTGTGTCCAGGTTCATTTGGACGACATAATACATTACGTCACTGCGTATGAGTGTGTGCGGGCGTACGGAGACCACCACAAACGCTGTTCACATTATGGCATTTCCGCAATTAAATCGAAAAATTAACCCCTTTGTTTAAGATCTGCAGCCCCTATATATACGCGGAGCCCCCATAGCATATTCCCAAATATCGCAAAGAAAATCGTGCTCTGAAAAACCTAGATTTATTGAAAGACGAAGAAGAAGAAAATGGCGGAAGAAAAAGTGATCGCCTGCCACTCCGTCGCCGCCTGGACCGAGCACCTCGAGAAGAGCAACGTCGACAAGAAACTGGTATATTTTTATTCTCACACACTTCTTTTTTTTTTCAATTTGCATTCTTTGTTGAATAAGTTAAATTAAAATTTTAATTTTAGTGCTGTATTTTGCGATCAGATTTTTTGCGTATTTTCTTGTTGGCCTTATTGAATTTTTGGGTAGAATTTTAGGGCAATTTTTTTGAAGAAAATGCTAGCTTTTGTCCCTGAACTTTTGTCTAATTGGAGATTTGGTCCCTGGCCGAGTGGATGGTACTGGTCCGGTATAGCTCCAATTCGACTAAAGTTCATGGACCGGTGCTCCTGTTTTCTCTTTTCGAATTAAAGAACGAGACTTGGGTGTATGGCAGTCTGGCAGATTACAGTTCGAATTTAGTCTGAATTTCGTATGGCTTGTACATTGCTTAACCAATTTGATATGTAAATTTGGTGCCTACTGTAAAAGCTGGTGGTTGGTTCGGTCGATTTTGGGTCCCGGATTGACCTGTTTGCAGGAAAATATATGATAAAAACTTCTCGTCTTGTCGCCAAGTTTTAGCCATGCTGGGTTCGAATTTATGCAATTATTTTCTCAGTGATTCCTCTTTAGAGAATGAAAATGTTATCTTTTCATGATTGATTGCTTTAAGCGACCGCGTATGAGGTTGATTTCATGTTTTCTGTATACAATGTGTAGCGAATTAAGATCACTAATTTGGGCTATATTTCAATAGATTGTGGTCGACTTCACGGCTACATGGTGTGGACCTTGCCGGTTCATTGCACCCATCTTCGCGGAGTTGGCTAGGAAGAACCCGGAAGTGACATTCCTAAAGGTGGACGTGGATGAGTTGAAGACTGTTAGTGAGGAGTGGGGCGTGGAGGCAATGCCGACCTTCTTGTTCCTCAAGGAAGGCAAGGTAGTTGACAAGGTTGTGGGTGCTAAGAAAGAAGAGTTACAGCTCAAAGTTGTGAAGCATGCCGCTCCAGCTGATGTTCCAGCTGATGTCGCAACTGCTTCTGCTTAGCTTTTCGCACTCACTTTCGGGAATGTGAACCTCCTACTATGCTTTACTACTTGTTTATAACTTTTATGGGTTCCTGAAGACATGAATGTTTTATGTATATATGATTACATGTACCTATATGATGATGCCTTGAATCTACTATCTATGAATAAGAATTTCAATGATAAGATATTATGATATATTTCATGCCAATTGCAATTGAGTTCTAGCGAGACGTGAAATATTAAGTAATATTTGTATATCTGAATTCTCTTCATATTAGTTTTTAATGATATTTGAAGTAAAAATAGCGAATTCTTTATAAAAAAATATCAATGTACAAGGAGTCAATGTCAGAGAACCCTAGGGCCTCATTTCGAAGGCTCGTCTAAGACCTCTAATTCTCAAGATTACTTATGTCTTACCATTTATTCATATCATTTCTATTAGGTGGACTCTAATACAGATAGTGTAAAACTACTCTGAAGAAAATATATGTTGGGCTTTAATCAATTTATGGCGGTGAGCCCCATCTACAACCGAGAGGAATATATCCCATTTGGGCCTCTGTCCAGGTTCATTTGACCGGACCTGCCCTCACTACATGACAAAATACATTACGTCACTGCGGATGGTATGCGCGCGCGTATACCGTTACCATCACAAACGTTATTCACACATAATGGCATTACTGCAATTAAATCAAATGTTAAGCCCTTTTAGTTAAGATTGGCATCCGGCTATATATATGTATATACGCGGAGGCCCGATCCCTTTCCCAAATCATCGCAAGAGAAAAATCGAGCTCTGAACAACTTGATTTGTTGAAAGAAAGCGAAGAAGAAGAAAATGGCGGAGGAAAAAGTGATCGCCTGCCACTCTGTCGCCGCCTGGACCGAGCACCTCGAGAAGAGCCACGTCGACAAGAAACTGGTATTTTTTTTTTCTCGCGCACTTCATTTTTCCCTTTTGCATTTTTTGTCGAATAAAGTTTAATTTTAGTATTCTGCTGTTTTGTGATGTATTATTGAATGATTGTAATTTGTGATCATTTTTTTTTACTTTCTTGTTCGCCGTATTGGATTAGTGGCTAGAATTTTAGTGTTGGATAGTGGCTGTGACCAACATGCAAATACTTTTTGATTAAATAAAAGAAAAAAAATGGGTGGACAACGTCATTGTGTCCATTCCTTGTTTTGGAGAGAAAAAAAAAGGCACCTTGTCTAAGGTTATTTGTTTGGCCATCAACACATGTGGATTTTGGTTCTTAACATAGTGTTGCTGCCTTTGGAGCAATTAGAGAGAAAATGAAGAGCACCACAAAGAGAAGTGAGAGCTGCCGAGACCAGAGAGAGATGCAGAGAGCCTAAAACAAGAAAGAGATGCTGCTCCATTTGTTAGTAATCATCTATCAAGGTAGTTGTTGTAATAGTTTTGAGCTTTGTATAGAGAGGAAGTTATTTAATATATTTATCTCTATTTGTTTCTTTGGTGTGTGAGAGCTATTGGTTGTATTGGAGTTTTGAGTTATGAGTTTGCCAACACTTTGTAAACTCCCATTTGATTGATAGTAGATTATTAGGTTAGCTTCTATTGCTCCGATGACGTACTCCAGTTACACTGACTGTTGAGGAACCTCGTTAAAATCTTGGTGTCTTTTATATTTTGTTCTTGCATTCCATTTGATATATTTTTTGTGGGTTAGATTGAGTTGGTTCCAATCTTGCCAAAGATGTCAGACGGGCAAGATGAGATTCCTTTTGGAAGCAGCTCCGGGTTTGCAAGAATTACGGTGCAAAATGCAAAGTTCGAAATGGAAAAGTTTGATGGCACAAACAACTTCGGGATGTGGCAATATGAGGTCAAAGATGTGTTGGCTCAACAAGATCTACTTGCCGCTTTGGGAGAAAAGCCAGGAGCTATGTCGAAGCCGGAATGGGAGAAATTAAATTTGTGGGCTTGCTCTTCAATTCGGTTGTGTCTTGCAAAAACTCAAAAGTATTTTGTGATGCAGGAGACATTGGCAAGTGTGTTGTGGCAAAAATTGGAAGACAAGTATATGATGAAGAGTGCAGAGAACCGGCTACACTTGAAGAAAAAACTCTACAGCTTCCAATACAAAGAAGGTACAAAAATGATTAGACACTTTGATGCTTGTAATAAGTTAATTGCTGACTTGTTAAATTTAGATGAGGATATTAAGAATGAAGATAAGCCCTTAACATTGTTGAATTCTTTGCCGGACCTTTATGAGCATTTTGTTACCATTATTATGCATGGTAAAGAAACTGTGAAATTTAAAGATGTGTCAAATGCCTTGATGAATTATGAAATGAGGCCTTGATGAATTATGAAATGAGGCATAGAGATAAAAATCATGATAGTACCTTTGAAGCTTTATTTGTTAGAGGTAGATCATCGGAGAGGAGATCCTCTTCTAGTAGGAAAAAATCACACTCTCGACTTAGAGGAAACTCTAAAAGTAGAAAAACCTTAGAAATGGAAGAATGTGCCTTTTGTCATAATAAGGGTTATCGGAAGAAAGATTGTCCTAGGCTGAAGACCAAAGGAAAAGAAAGTTCTGAAACCAATGTTGCTGATGTTGAAACAGATTTTTTTATTATTTTGCTTTAACCACTTCCTCATCATTTGATTGTGCTACTAAATGGGTGTTGGATACGAGTTGTACTCATCATATGGCTCCACACAAAGATTGGTTTTCAAGCTTGAAAGAGTTTGATGGTGGTGTTGTGTTCATTGGAGATGACAATTCTTGTACAACAAAAGGGATTGGTACAGTTCGTTTGAAGTTGCATGATGACATAGTTAAAGAGCTGACAGGTGTTCGGTATGTACCAAATTTGAAGAAAAATCTTATTTCTTTGGGCACTTTAGAATCCAAGGGCTTCAGGTTTCATTCAGATGGGCAGACATTGAAAATTATTTATGGTGCACTTGTTGTGATGAAAGCTCCTCGATGTGGTCATTTGTATCTATTGCAAGGAAACACCGTGACAAGTGAAGCATCTGTAGTCTCAGAAAATATGGGCACATCTGATTCAGATACTACTAGACTGTGACATATGAGATTAGGCCATACCGGTGAGAAAGCTCTACAAGGGCTTGTGAAAAAATATCTTCTAAAAGGTGCCACGACTTGTCTACAGTTACACTGACTGTTGAGGAATCTCGTTAAAATCTTGGTATCTTTTATATTTTGTTCTTGCATTCCATTTGATATATTTCTTGTGGGTTAGATTGAGTTGGTTCCAATTGGTTTGGTGTTGTCCTAGCACAATATGTAGTACAAAATTTTAAAATAGAAAATTGTAGCTTTGTGGCTTGACTTTGGTCTAATTGAAGATTTGGTCCGTGGATGGTCGATGTGACAAATCAATTCTTTGGGTTGTTAACGGGCACCGATAAGAATTATTAACAACCCAATGGGTTGATTCGCTACTTCTACAGTTCTACTGGGTGGTACTGGTCTTTAAAGTTTAGTCTAACCAATTGCTCCAATTCGACTAAAGATGATGGACCAATTCTCTTATTTTCTCTTTCCGAATTCATGTACAAGAATCATGAATGGGGTGGATGGCAGATTACCGTTGGAATTTGTTACGTATGGCTTGTACATTGCTTAACCGATTAGATATGTAAATTTGGTGCCTTTTGTAATAGCTGGTGGTTGATGGGGTCGATTTTGTGTCCTGGATTGGCCTGTTTGCAAGGAAATATATGATGCAAACTTCTCTTGTCGACGAGTTTTAGCCATGTTGGGTTCGAATGTATACAATTATTTTCTCAGCGATTCCTCTGTAGAGAATGAAAATGTCATCTTTTCGTGATTGATTGCTTTAAGCGACCGTGGTTGATTTCATGTATTCTTTATACAATGTTTAGCGAATTAAGATCACTAATTCGGTCTATACTTCAATAGGTTGTGGTCGACTTCACGGCTATATGGTGTGGACCTTGCCGGTTCATTGCACCCATCTTCGCGGAGTTGGCTAGGAAGAACCCGGAAGTGACATTCCTAAAGGTGGACGTGGATGAGCTGAAGACTGTTACCGAGGAGTGGGGCGTGGAGGCAATGCCGACCTTCTTGATCCTCAAGGAAGGCAAGGTAGTTGACAAGGTTGTGGGTGCTAAGAAAGAAGAGTTACAGCTCAAAGTTGTGAAGCATGCCACTCCAGCTGATGTCGCAACTGCTTCTGCCTAACTTTCGGACTCTCTTTCGAGAATATGAACCTCCTACTGTGCTTTACTAGTTGTTTATAACTTATATGGGTTTCTGAAGACATGAATGTTTTATATCTATGACTATATGATGCCTCATGGCTGCTATCTATGAATGCTTTTATTTCAATTGAATTGAGATTTCATTTCGCGACGAATGGAAACTTTCGTATTTGCATTGACATAATTTTGAATTCTTGTTAAGTGTCGGGATTGCCCATTCCCAAGTATATACTGGGGAATGGGGGAGCCATAAACCAAACTAAAGGCAAAAGCACTTGCCTGTATCTAACAAACTACTTAAGGCAAAAGTACTTGCCTGTAATTGAACAACAAACTACTTAAAGGCAAAAGCAAAAGCACTTCGCCTGTACTAGCAAACTACCATACCCTATCAAATTGTGAAACCAAACACTTTAATGCCTTTATCTGTCTTGATTCTTTTGCTTCATAGCTTGCATGGTGTGCATATTCTGTTATCTGTGTTTTGAAGTTTTTTTCCTCCTTGTGCGATGTCTTCATCTCCTCGAATTGGGCTGATTGGTTGTAATTTCCGTCGAACAAACAGCTTCAACTGATAGCCGTTTGAGTACATTCGGACATGGATCTGTCTTGAAAATGCTATTGGTTACAGCAACCGAGCAACTCTCACGCCCGATACAATTCTGCAAGACATGTTAAGTTGTTAACAGATTATGTGGAAGGTCAAAGAAAATATAAGAACAGAAAAGATTATGGAGGGGGTAATGCCTTCTCCACCACGCCGTGTGAGTTTTTCGCGTGACACGTTCCTTGCTGGAAACTCCCACAAGTTCCTGTAGGAGTTCCGAAACTTGCAAACTTAATGCTCGAGATAGACTTCCCCGGTGCACACTGCAGATGAACCTGAGCTTGGTGAAGCGTTTTAGAATTTTCATTGCCCTCGACATCAAAATTTTCGACATTTGGGTGGTTCTCATGTAAGTCACCACAAACACCGGTCACAGATCTTTTCACTAGGGTTATCTTTGATGGATCTCCGCCTAGTTCCTCAAACACTACCACCAAATTTTGCGTCGGCTTTAACCATGAACGAGGAACATGGTACCATCGTTGAGTTGGTTGGCCACAGCCAAGTTGACATTCCGTGGGACGGAATGTCCCAATGTAACTGCACGAACTGCAGTCACCTTTGGCATAAGCCATCCAGTATCTACCGATGCTCTGCCCATTGATCCATACTTGTCCCTTTCCCATGCTACTCATGTCCAACGCCAATGGCTCATTTCCTCCGGGTGCATTGAAATAAGCCTGCACAATCCAAGATAACGTTTAATTTAGCTTCCAAAGCCTACTGCCTGACTAGTTTTCATCACTATCTCGAAATCCTTACCTTGTACCATTTCAACGTCTGCTTGGTTTGGGTAGCTAGTGACCTACGGATCCAATCAACTGATGAGGCTCCGTTTGGAGAGACCAAATTCATTTCTTCTCCCTTAAGGCCGACCTGTTTGAAAGATTTTACTATGAGATTCAAACCTCAGCGAAAAGTAGAGAGGGTGGGAGTAACAAGTAACAGAGATGTATTTTTGGGAGGCTGTCTGACCTTGTAGAACCACTTCTGCGACGTTAAGTCTTTCTTTCCGTGGCCAAGACCATCCAGAAAAACCGGACCTTGGATTCCCGTTTTCCACGACTCGTAATGCAACCCGACATTCTTGAACACCAAAACAAAAAGTTTATCAGTAACCAAGTTCATTAATGGGCATCATCATTGAGTTTACGTGCACAAGAGCTATGAGTAAGGCACTAACTGGTAATCCAACAGCTATGCTGAGCAGTGCAATTCTGTTTATTCCAGTGCGGAGGTTGACTGGTTCAGCAAATGTGAATTGCCTCTGCTCCCTAGTTCCAAACGCCGAACCTATAAAAAATTATGATAATGTTTTTGTTCTAGTCCAGAGTAAATTCCTGCTCACTGGCTGTCGGAAAACAAAAATTTCACAGCATACCTGAAAACTGCCCGTTGACGAAGACATGGAGGGCATGACCTGCTGACTGCACAGTAAGAGTAGGCTTTTTTCCTCCTCCGAGGTCTGATGAACTGATGTCAACACTGAATAGCATGCAAACCGAGATGTCAAGTATGACGTAGATTAAGAAACTATTTTTGAAAGAAAGGATTGTAAGGCTGCTCACTTTGTCATGTACCACAGATAGTCACTAGTATCTCTAGTTACATTTATCTGCTCTAGAAGTCCAACAGCCGGTATGCTTGACCCATCGTTTAGAGAAGAGATATCTTCATCGTAAGTCTGCCATGAAAACAACAGACTGTTCGTTGGGATCATCTGCACATGTGACGTTTGAACTCCCACCTTGATGAAAAGCCAGTTGTATCAATAACTTGAGATACAGAGATACAAATTTATGAATAAAAGGACTTGCAATACGAGCGCCAACATATTCACTTACCTTTGCAGTGTTGAATACTTCATTCCTGCAATCAGGAAGGATGCTAACAGACCAAGGCGGCAAATCATAGTGCAAGTTATTAAAAGTCACTTTTGCTCCTGTTGAATGGAAGTTTGAGAGAAACGCTGCGCATCTATTTGGTCCTGAATTGAATACATAAGCCTGGAAGATAACCGAGACATGTACAGATTTTTCGGTAAGGTTGATAATGTAGCAGAGATTGTCCAATTGAAGAAATTATGTGCATTCAAGAAGCCAAACCTGATGATAGGTTCCTAGTGAAGTGACGGTAGGCTCTGAAGAGAGTAAAGAATGTTCACATAGCTTGATAGCCTTGTGAAGCTCCTTCAGATGACCATATTTAGGTTCTCTGATCAAACCTAAAAGCAGTTGAGGGGTTATGTAAGAGCTCAAGACAGAAATCGAAATTCACTGTATTTTGAATTTTCATTGAAAATGTTTAGACTTTCATGCTAAATTTGTACCGTATTCATCAATGGGAGCATCATAGTCGTAACTGGTTGTAATGAAGGGGCCTCCAGCTGTTCGTCCGAAGTTTGTTCCTCCATGATACTGTCATAAACCACAAATGGCGAAACTCAAATTTTGAGCCGGCACATATTAGTCTTTTAAAACTTGGAACTGACGGACAAGGAAACTAACCATGTAGTAATTCACATATGAGCCACCCTTCTGTATGAATCGACCAACTGCGAATGCCAAATCTTGGACAGGTCGATGGTGAATTGTGCCACCAAACTCTGTAAACCTAATAAAATTTTGTTGCATTGAATTAGAAGAATGAACATGAATACACTCAGCCAAATTCCGACCATGGGTTAAGATCGACTTACCAGCCGCTCCAAGCTTCCGTCCACATGGCAGGCTTGTAAGGTTTGTTGGGAGTGAATCCATCGCAGTAAAAACCGTTGCATGCATTTATCTGTAACCAAGATATAATCAGTACAATAACATTGAGCGAGGACTATAGGTATCAGAGTTATCCAATCCAATCCTAGCACACCAAGAAAACCGAAGAGAACAAGATGGCTAACCATAGGGTCTGGGGCATCGTCTTCCTTGCACATCACCCATGGGACTCCGGTATCCAATCCAACCGCCATTTGAGCAGCCCAGTTAATGTAGTTATGGCCAGCAGCTCCCAGTGCCTTGCTCTCCGGTCCATACTCATTCTCAATCTGCACCACAGAAAGTTCAAACATTGAATCGAACAAGTTCATCAATGAATTCAAACATTTCGATAAAATGTACTCGAATTCCAGCGGATCAAATTAACCAAAACTGAATACATTACCTGGGAAAGGATGATGGGACCACCTTGTGATGCAAATAGCTTCTCATCCTTCATCATCTGGACAATCTTCTGGGTGAACCCTTGCATTGCCATCTTCAACCAAAAACCAAAACAAAGAATGAAGTTTCAAAGTTTTTTCATTTTACAAAGCAATATTCTAAACTACTGTAATCTACGTGAAGGGACTTCGAGCACATTGCTCTACCTAACTGGCCTAACCTGCGTCTGCTAGATCCATGAGCTCTACAATTAACCCTCTAATTCATCACATTCTAACAAAATCTAGAGCTTTCAGTAGAAATTTTCAGGAAGAAAAATACCTTAAACGGCCCATTATCTGTCCTGAAACTGATGCCAGGTACATATTTCAGCCAAACGGGAAATCCTCTGCACAAAAGGGAGTCAAACTTTAAGCACCCAAGTTTCAGATAACAAAATAAATGAATAAATAAATAAATATCAGAAAAACTAAAATAAATAAATATTTCTGAAATTTGAAGCATTTACTCCTCACTGTATCAGGCAGAGTGCAGAAATAAATAAAAAACGAAAGGGAAAGTACAGTACCCAAAATTCCACTCTGCACAAATATAAGGCCCGATGCGCAGATGAAGAAAGAGCCCTGCTTTTTGTACTGTCTTTATGAACCCTACTAGATCGTATCTCCCCTCAAAATAATACTGAGATACAAAATAAATAAAAATTCAAGAAACTTAAATAATTAGCTAAAATTTTCAAAATTTGAGTGAAAAATTAACAGGACTAGTAGTAAAAATAGTACATTGCCAGGAGAAGGTTCATGGCCGTTCCAGAAAACGTAGGTGTCGATCACATCCAAGCCTCCATCTTTTGCTTTCTGTATGAGGCCTTCCCACATCTGCAGCAAAACCCAATTCATGATGTGTCAAACATACACAAATATCACGTTTTTTATGATTTTGGGATGGTGAAACAACGGCAAGTGATTTCCGCATACGATATTTTTTGTCCATACACAATACTGTATTCTTGAATTTTAATGAATATATTAAAAAAGAATCGAGCGAAAAATAAACAGTAGCGTGCACAATGAGAAAAAAGACATGCGGAAATCATTCTTCGGACGAAAAAATGAGAGTGAGCGAGAGATACTTCAGGGGTACTTCTGGGATAATGAATGGATCCAGAAATGAGCAATCTTCTCTGGCCATTGATGAGAATGGCCTTCTTGTCGTAGGTGACGGTGGTGCAGTGGATAAGCTCAGAACCCAAGAACAATGCCATCGACATGAAAAAAACTAAGAGCTTGGAAACCGAGTGAGTTTCCATCTCTGAGAAGTGAGAGTGTTGGGAGGGAAATCTAGAAAATGTGTATATGTGTGTGTGGAAACTGGAAAGGTGAGAGAGAAG